CGCCACGGCGAGCCGGTATTACGTTAGGATTTTCCTGAGAAACAACCTAAAACTCCGAATCCATCCAAAAATTCAATCGAAGCTTGGCTTCCAGCTTTCTACAAAATTTATCTATCAGGGCTAGGATCAAAAAATTTAGCCAATCAAATTTAATCTTACATAGCGTCAAAAAACCTTCAATTTTCACGCCATCTTTAAAAAGCAGCAAGTATTATTTTGAGCGCAAAGATATACTGATGATTAAAATGTCTGTTTTCATGAATTCTTTTCAATAAATCATATTTACACTGACTTTTGATTTAGCGATCTCACCTGTTCCTTTGTAGTTAGTTTTCGTTTGGTTAATTAACATAATTGTACATCTGGTTCTGTGCATTTTTTTTCTTTTTTCCGGTCATTTTATCTTTTCCGGTATTTAGTGTATATATTTACTGGCCGGGATCCGGGACGCCCGGACTGGCCGGGATCCGGGATCGTATAAGATATAGAGGAAAAACAAATACACTATTTTTGTGTTGATTATTGTCGTAATGAAAGGCCATTAAACATTAAGTTTTTTTTTATTGTATGTAATGAACGTTAAATTAATTAAACTTAGGAAATAAATATATTTAGAGCTATTTATTAACAAACTTAAAATACGGAAATCACAATACTTATAATTATATGCCGAATTAATTGGAAAAATCAAAGACTACGTTCTTAAATTGGTCAAATGCCGGGATCCCTTTATGTTTTAAAGCGATCCCAGCTTTTCTGAAAACTATATTCTTGAACTGGCCAATTCCTGGGATCTCTTTATATTTTGATACGATCCCGGCTTTTCTGAGAACTATATTCTCTAACTGGTCGATTCCCGGGATCCCTATATGTTTTAATAGGATCACGGCTTATCTGAAAAACATCTTAGACTGGTCAATTTCCGGGATCCCTATATTTTTAATAAGATCCCGGCTTTTCTGGCTGAATTGATTGACAACTTGTGTTTACTTTAGGACTTGTGTCTGTCACTCATTCCAATACTAAATAACATATTACAACTTAACTTCGTATAAAGAGACATCTAAAGTTATGAATTCTACCTATCTAACATTTATTTGGTCAAGGTCCACAGGCTATACAGTAAATGTGCATAGACATAGGGACTGACTTCATTTTATCTGTTTACATGCATCTTCATATATACTCATATTCCTCTTTGTTAAACTGAGAGAACTGGCTTCCATCACTTTTATTTTGATGTTCGCTCAAGTCTCTTCAGCTAACAGAACTGTCATTTTTACATTTAAACGCACCCTTGGAAAAAAATTACGAAGCGAGTCGCTACTAGCTTTTTTAAAAGCTAACCTTGTAACACACTTAAAATTGAAGCCTCTATATCAAATGGTTTGAAATTTATACGTGGAATATGGCGTTTTCCACGCTAAGCAATACTTCGAATAAATAAAACAATAACCTGACACAAGAGAATCAGATGACACTAAATTGATAATGATATTCATTTGAGTATAATAGAGTACAAACAGAAGCCATTGATAATTGCGAAGATGTTTCGAAAATTTATGTATTCATGAGACAACAAACACGTTGATTCTGCGCTTCAGATTTTATTTTTTCTTGTAAAACACGAACATTGTTCGAGTTAGATATGTCGCTGAGCATATGTAGTGATTACTTCCCCCTAAACCTTTCACATTTCCCTAAATAATCACAAAAATTATCACAAGCCGAATTAAGATACATTTGTATCAATTCTCACCAATTAGCAGCATGATTTCTATTCGTCTTCTCTTTTGTCTGATAATTGTCTAAATTATGATGGTCCTATTTATGTATGCATACTTCTGTTGTTCTCGTAAACTATTGAAATTTGGGAATCTATTTCTTAATCAAGGGACCAATTTTATGTGACCTACAGAATAACCGCTATTTTTTAAGTGTTTCAGACAACTTACATTTGTTATAGACTTAATTATTTGATGCATCTTTTGTTTTGTGTTTGTACTATCTCGAAAAATTTAAAAGTTGGATTCAGGGATCCTTGTGCATGTAAGTCAATTCATTACGTCAGCTTACGCCAGTAAAATAAAAATAGAACATATTTCAAAGGGAGATCCCTTTAAAGCAGAAATGTGAACTGGAGTATAGATTAATACGAGAGGTTATAGTAAGTTGAAGCAAGGGCAGTACAGCTGATTCATAGACATGCATGTCACTTTTAAGTTACATTGGAACTCGAAAGGTAATCCTATGACTTTCCAACTTAAGTTGCGGAGGACAACCACAGTTGGGCCTTATTATTTCAGTCCCATGCAGGAGCCTGAGTAGAACCATCAATCAACCACTAGATAGCTGTTCAATTTCTTAACAATTTCTAACGGGATTCGAACCAAAAGCTTTTGGGGGTGGGGGTGGCGGGGGCAAGTTGTCTAAAGTCAAGAACCTTAGCATCAATGCCCATTATCACCACTACCTAATGTATTTGAATCAAATATTCACAAACGATAATAAAATAACTTGTTATCTAGTGTTCGTAGCCCTTCAAATGGTATAAATGGCATGATTTACATTTATACCTGTGCATATTGTTAAAATACCGGAAGAAAGGAAGGAGATATCACGAACAGTCAGTATGCTTTACTGAATGGAGACATTTTGTTTTGTTAAATAAGCCAATTTTGCTAGTTTTATATCAAAAGGTACAAGTGTTTCGTAAAATTTTAAAGTCCAATTTAGACGTATCCATACTTTGCACACTGAGTTTTCATCTATTTGAAGTAGTCATATTTGTCTTTATTCATTCAAAGCTTAAGATTATTCTCTGTGCTTGTTTGAAATTTCTTTCTCTTCCTTTGTAAAAACTTGCACTATCCCGCACATTGGTAAACTGTTTTTTTTTTCTTTTCCTTTCATTGATAATATGATGCAAATAAGTACAGAAAAAAGAGTGTCGTGAAAATTATCTTAAAAACATATACAGCATAGAATATGCTAAAAAAATATACAAACACAGAATGTGCTAAAAGCAAGATTGAAATGTTTTCAATCAGCTGTTCATATATACATGTTGACTTCATAATTTCATATCCTTTTTACTTTTTCTAGTGAACAGTTTATGTTACGTAAGAACTCACTAAGTCTATAAACACAAGGTCTGAGTTTAAAATTGTGTCTAAAATAACGAAAACAATATCAGAACTTATCAGGTAACCTTAGTTTATAATGTTAAATAAGTGTCTTATATATTGTATGATTTTTGCTGTGTTCAAATGATGTGTCCAATTTGTAATTTTCATACACTTTTACAAATCAATCATGTATTTATAGAAATAATTTCCTACCAACTGCGTAGATTTTTATGTTAGAAATTGAGTGTGTGTACCGAAATACGACAAATTTCTAAATTTCTAAATTCAAATTTCTTAATGTTGGATTCTGCTTAAGCCGATGCTGTAAGTGGGGGGGGGTTGGGGGCGTGGACGGTAGCTTGCCCTTTTCAGTACCGTCAAGAACAGGTTCAATCAAACTAAGCCTGCAACATTTTCAATTTTAGAGTGTTGGGCTTTCTTTAAGGATTCTATTTTTCCCTATCTTATGTTCGTTTAGAAAAACACTGAATTCGGGTAAATGTGGAAGGAAAGATAAAAAAAAGACCAGTGAGATTTTGTATTATAAGTTTGCATTTTAGTGATAAACATGTTTGGATAAAAATATCGCATTGAGTTTGATAACTAAAAGAAAAAAGAATATCGTTGTATGGAAATATGAATTTTGCATGTTGACATATGTCATTTTACTGCGAGTATTATTACGATCAATATATTTGATGTGATGTAGGCATTAATTACAAAATATATGCTTTTACTTATAGCCAAATTGTAAGAAGATCCACACAATCATATTTTATATTTACAAAGTGAACGATATGTAGACCAATATCTTTTTTATAAATTGATAATTCTACACATGTGTTTTCTGTTGTCAGCGTAATTTGATAATAGAGATATTTTTTTAATTTCCAGTAACAAACTATTGTTTTTTAACAATGTTAATGATATAAAGATATATAGATAGATATCCATCGATGTGATAAGATAAATTTGTTCAGTGTTTGGAATTAAAGGTAGTGACACATGTCATAAAGAGCAAGATAAATTAATATTTATCAGTTTCAAAAGTTATCTCATTGTTGACAAAGCCAGCAACTTGTATGCAAGTATTCGAGTAAGTTATTAGTTATTAAAGATTATTGACACGTTATAATGTACTGGATAAACGGTTGTTATTACCTGTCAGATATATTAATAACGAATTTATAACTCTGCAAACTTTGTTTTTTAAGAGAAACAAGGGATATTTCTAGAAAGTTTGACAGCCGCCGTGCATAAATGTTACGATTATCCAATGAAAAGCGACGTTACATACGTGCAGTATTATAAGAGTGAAAGTAGTTCATGCATGTACCTGAGGTATTTTATCATGTTCAAAGTGAATTTGTTTCTAACGGAAGAGTCTTAATGCAATCATTATGAAAAATTATGTTAATAGTATATAGCATTAGACATAACAAAAAACAATAAATAATTATACATGACAATTGTTTGCCAGTGTAGGATATTTATTAGTCGATACTACATATACTTTTAAAGCAGTTAATAAAGTCTTGTAGAACAAAACATAATCATTCATCATATAAATGTTCATTCGAAGTCACAAAGCATTTAAAACGTGTTGTTTATCAGGCAATTTCTTTGATAAGAATACCCATGTCATAATTTTTCTTATTGTTTTATCAATATTACCATACTCATCAACAATATTCCCACTGTAGACCTATCCACTTTAAGGTTTAAGCTTCGGAAATTTAATTGTTGAGAACATTTCTTTACATAAAAAATGTCTCAGTGCAATATTGATATGTAATAAAGCATTGTTATAGATTTTTATAGTTTAAACTTTTTTCACGATAAGAAAAATAAATTAAGAAATAAAAAAATTACCGTATAAGGTTCTTCTTTAATCCATTGTCAGTGTTTTAGAAACGAATACTTCTGAATCATGTTAAAATAGTTCCATTTCAAATGTACAAATCACATAAAATCATCAACATTTACACAGAGGACTCAGTCTTATCTACGACAACCTTAGTTCAATTTATTCCTATATAGATGCTGAATATTATATATTTTAAAACATAAATGCTGTCTCTATCATATTTGCTTCACGGTTTAAAAAGCCGCTTGCTTGTCAACCAATGAAAATTTATAAACTACTATAAAAACAAAAAGAAAAATATAATGTGTGCACTCCATTTATCGAGGATAGCCGTCGTCTTTTTTTAGATTGAAGTGATAAATCTGTTAAAGTAGATTTTGATATAAATCAGACACGTTACTGTTAAAGCTAGCTTCTCTGCCTTTTGTCCTCCTTAATTTAAAGATCTTTATTACTCACTTAGGCCCCAACATATTTTTTTTTTATTTTTTCAAATGTTTATTTCTTACTTTAAGTCGTCAATAACTGATTGATTAATATCTTTTTTTCCTTTTTTTTTGTTTTTGGTAAAGTTAAAATGATATTCAAGGTCATTGCAAATTTTTTTTATCTAGAATTTAATGACAAAATACCATTTTCTTTTTGTTTTACTTTATGTGTGACAATTTGTTTGTTTTTTGATACAATATAATCATATAACATGTTCTTGATAAATTATCAAAATAGTATTGATTATCATACTTGTTAAGAGGGTGCATTTTTTTAATGCATTTGAGGTTTAAAAGAGATGCAACTATACCATTTTAATACATGTATCTTTCAGTGCCATAAAAGTGAGTATCTTATATTTGCCGAATGATTAATTACTAACAATGCATACTCTCATTCGTGTGCATGAACTGTAAGATTCGTAATCAATGTTTTTGCTTTTCAAACAAATAATTCATCGTTTTTTCAGAGTAATGCGAGTTAAAATTCTGTTTACATGTACTATTGGATTTAAAGCGATAATAATATTTTATTTTCTGTTGGAAAAAAAAACCGGAACAATTCGGTGTGTGTTGAAACTTAATATTTCAGCAAAATTTATTATATCTTGGATAAGTGCATCATATCACTGTTAAGTCTTCTTTTAAACAGCGTACTTAGAACTATTTATAACGTGTCAGTAACGTTTGGTTTTTAAATAGAGATCGCACCGGTATATTAGAGGTATCCATAGATTTCCATATTGCTTATGTTTTTTTATCATCGGCAAATTTCAATTTCCACCGTAGTTGTTTTGATTTGACAATTTTGAAAATGATTAATATAAAATTAGCATATTTGATCTTAAAGTTAAAAAAAAAACTAAATTCATATATGAGATGATATAAAAATCTCAACATTCGTCCCCATGCGTTGATGGGTTATAATATCACATATGAATAATATATTAACTTTAAATTCAAAATTTGCACATATCAAAGAACGTTCTCAGTAAAAAAAACACATGAAACTGATATATATAATTTTTATATTTTAAACTGAAAATATTTTGCGTGTATTTGCCTTGTGTATAACAAATTGAAGCTTTATAAATCATACACATCTAAATTGGTTCTGCTCAGCGTTCTGTATAGACTTGTATAGAACAACACATTAAAATCGAGTTTTGAACTGCAATGAGAAGGTATTTAATGTTCGATGTGTTGTTTATTCTAGCAGACCACTTACAAATTTATTATAGAACATGCAACTTTTGTGAAAACAGGCACAGGAAATTAAGAGTAATTGCTGACTTTCGAGTTGTAAAAGTGTGATATATTGTAATTTCTATCGATACTTAAATGGCCACTAATGCATTCTGGTAAACTCTTTAACATATTTGTATCACACCCGTCTTGGTCTTCTTTGAAATAGTTTCTTATGTCATTACTAAAGCTATACAAAAATTGTAATAATTATATAATGTCCTTCATATACAGTATTTGAAATCAATTATTATGCTCCTTTAATTGGCCAATTCCTTAATATTTGATTTCTTAACAAAACGAGAATTTTTTGATGTGTTAATATCGTCAACATTCTAAGACAACTGATCATAAAATTATAAATTTGAATGAAAATGTATTGTACGATAGCTTCCAAGTTTATATTATCTTTGCTTTATTATCATTATTATTTCTAATTTCATGCACTTAATACATGAAACAATGCATTGATTTTAATATGATCTCAGATGTTAAAATTTTGCCAACCAAGTAGAGTAATAAACTTTATTCAATGGCTGAAAGTAAAGTTAGACATTGAAAGAAAAGTTAAATACCGCTTAAAGGGACGTAATGCAACTATGATTAAATTTTTCTTTGAAGAGTTATCTATTCATGTAACTGTTAATTTGTCAATGAACGATATGATGTTTGTCTCTTAAATATTATCGCTCAATAGCAAACAATGTAAATAAATGTAATAAACATAAGTACAGTAGTTACTGTTACAAAATTAAAAATCAATGATATATCTTTATCGATGTTCAATTATGATAAAATACTTTGAAAAAAAAATGGCTAATTTTATAGATATACCTTAATAAAGAAATAAATGCGTGACTACCGATAATTAAGAATATCAAGTTACTGTTCCGCTTTATCAAATTGTAAAATATCTGCTTTACAAAATTTTGACAGTAGAATCAGTCGTGGGAAGACACAGTATAGGTTAATACGAAATTATTTTAATGTTCGATATATCCATTCGACACATGTCATCTTGATCAGATAATCTAAATTGTACCTTTTGTATTTTATCGCTTTAACCGAATCGTTAAACTTGATTCTGTTTCTTTTAATTATGATTAAATGGTTTTGTTGTAAATCTTTATCACATAATCTTCTCGCTTGTCATATGTTCTTTGTATTTTGTAAAGTTGTAATAATGATGTAAACAAAGCCACATTATCAACACATTATTGGAGTATTGTCTTCATCTCAAAATAATATTGATTTAGTTTTGTTCATTCTTATTATATTTTAAGATCGTCTGTAAACGGTCGTGAGTTCTATTTTGCAACGTGAATATAAAAAGCCGATGGGATGTATGTTATGTCCCTTAATGGGAAATGACAGCAATTATTTTTGAAATATCATAATTTAATCATTATATTTTATGAATGTTTGTTGTATTCATATGTTAATACTTAAGACACATGTTTGAATTCAGTAAAATTACGGCAGCAGAAGTATCTTAATATATTTTTATTTTAGCACGTATAATGCATTAATTTTACATTTTATTCCTTTCTATCGAAAAACAATTAATTTGTAAAAGAGATATCTGTACACGGATTTTGTTTTATGATATTTTTATAATTTCATGTAGTTACGATTATGATTATGTGTTATGTATATATTGTTATTTACATGTTTTGACATTTATCTATCTATCTATCTATCTATCTATCTATCTATCTATCTATCTATCTATCTATCTATCTATCTATCTATCTATCTATCTATCTATCTATCTATCTATCTATCTATCTATCTATCTATCTATCTATCTATCTATCTATCTATCTATCTATCTATCTATCTATCTATCTATCTATCTATCTATCTATCTATCTATCTATCTATCTATCTATCTATCTATCTATCTATCTATCTATCTATCTATCTATCTATCTATCTATCGATTCATCCATCCATCCATCCATCCATCCATCCATCCATCCATCCATCCATCCATCCATCCATCCATCCATCCATCCATCCATCCATCCATCCATCCATCCATCCATCCATCCATCCATCTATCCATCCATCCATCCATCCATCCATCCATCCATCCATCCATCCATCCATCCATCCATCCATCCATCCATCCATCCATCCATCCATCCATCCATCCATCCATCCATCCATCCATCCATCCATCCATCCATCTATCTATCTATCTATCTATCTATCTATCTATCTATCTATCTATCTATCTATCTATCTATCTAATTTACCCATAAAAATTGTGTATGACACCTTAATCCTAGTTAGCTGATGACGTATATATTTTATAATTTTAATTGTCTTTAAGAAAAAGCTTTACAATAATTTTATTTCATTTCATAAAGTCTATCAGATAACTAATCATGATTTTTGCAATTATTAGCTCTGTAGTACAGAAGCATTTGCAAAATGATGTTTATGAATTAAAATATCTGGTTTAGCTATAAAAAATAATTGTTAATACTATGGTAGCACGCAGGTGGGTTCTGTATGTTTTATTATATTTATCTCATGTAAACGAGATACTTTCTCGTTTGTACGAGTTAATAAGTCGTGTACACCAATTAATATGTCATAAGCACGAGTTACTATATCTTAAGCACAAGCTAGTATGTGTAGTGAAACAATTATTAAGTTATGTGCACCAAGTAATAAAGTCGTAGACACGAGATAATTAAGTCTGGCAACGAGTTACTAGTTCGTGAGCACCAGTTACTATGTCGTGTTCACGAGATAATTTAGTCATGCGCACAAGCAAGTTACTTAGTTGTGCTTTAAAGACAATTAAGTCGTGTCCTTCAAAGCACGAGTAACAACGTCATGATCACGAGTTACTCTGTCATATAAGATATGTATATTAATTCAAGTAAATACCTTTAATTGTTTTGAAGACTAGCAGACTGCTCGAAATCATTAGGTTTATCTACTCCCCGTGAGAAATATTCCTACCAAGGAACATAAACAATGGCTTTTTTATTCTCGAATTATTGATATGACACTAATTTTACACTATGTGTCTCTGTGGCCTTGATCTTTAACCTTATCACAATTAATACGGATTTTCTTCTTGCCACTTATGGAGTAAGAAGAATGTCCCTATCAAGAAATCAAGAAACACAACGCATTGCTTGTTCCTTCTTAAGTTTTTGATCGGACAAGGATATTACAATAAGCATGGTTTTAACCTTGATTTTGACCAATTAATTCAAAATCATTAAGTGTCATCTACTGATCACGTCATAGTCAAAAGTTGGTGATATCAACTATCAAGTTTTCTATCTGACAAGGATTTTACAAGACGTGTTATCACATGATGCGCTCCCTTTTTAAGTTGGGCATAAAAAGGGCAATAACTTAGTTAAAACAAATATCTAATTTATGGGCTTTGGAAAATTACCTCCTAAAATGATTTTAAATACATGCATCAAGTTTCAAGTGAATACCTCCGATTATATATACATATAGATATTACATGTATAGCTTTACCCAGAAATTTTACGTGCAACCTCAGTCTTTTTGTCTTCAAAAAAATGAAAGTTTTCACTTTAATTCTAAACCATGTCTTAAACAACAAAGTTACTCGTGGTCACGACATAATAACTCGTGCGAACGACTAAGGTATCACATGTGCATTAAGTAACTTGTGCATACGGCAAAATAACTCCTGCGCACAACTTATTTATCTCGTACAGTCGACATAGTAACTCGAGCGTACGACCTAGTACTTGTTCTCACAACTTAATTATCTCGCGCGCACGACTGAATAACTCGTGCTCACAACAAAGTACTTCGTGCGCACGACATAGTAATTTGTGTGCATCGCATAGTATCTTATTTTCATGCGTTAAACTAAGACATACACACGTCGCATCTGTGTAAACATAGCTTTGTGTGTTTAGAAATGTTTTAAGTGTAGAAACGTTGAAATTCTCAAGGAATTTATAATCGTTTGCAAACAACATCTTTCCCGTTAGAAAATATCATCATCCTAAAATGTTTTCACCCTATCTCTATCTTGGTTAGAATCGATTACTGTTGAAAATTATCTATGCTCCATACCTCTAAACAAAACACAATGCTCATTTTTTAATTGGAGTTGCCGAAAATTTGAATCATAAGAGCTTAGTGTCGTTATAGTCGTAATCAACACGCATAATCAGTAAAGTTTTTTTTTAACATCCAGGACGACAACGTATCAATACTTTAGAAAATAGTTTCGTACTGATTAAAGGGACGCAATACAATTATTGTACTGAATATCGTTAAAAGAGTTGACATTTAATTTAAACAGTTAAACGTAATAGTATACTTAAAAAGATTGATTGCCATTTAAGTCTCTCTGGCATCATAACTTAAGGTTGAATTCAAATGCCTTATTGTTTTCAAGTTAATACATTTATGTCATAGTACTGGTAAATTTATAGTGATTCATATTAGGAACAGTGAGTTTGATAAATAGCTATATTATAAAGATCTAATGATAATCTAATAGTTAGAGAATAACATGCTAGTAGCTACTGTCTTCTGATATCAATTTTATCAGGCGATGCTGATATGGGCTAGAAAGGGGCGAGGCTCGCCGAGCCTGACACATGTTTTTCTATTATCAAACTTAAAACGTGCACTGTTTTCCAGTAGGTACCAGTATTGTAAGAGATTTTAAGTCTGACAAAATGAATGAACATCAACTAATAATACGCTGTATCAAATGATGTGTCTGAATGTAGTTTTTTTACACCATCTCTTCTATACAGATATGGTGTAAGTCTTGTTGGTGTACAGCAGAACAGTGGTGTATCTACAATACAGCTCAACCCTGGGCCACGTCACATCATAAAGGAGTCGGGCATTTGTTTCTATATGAACATTACCAAGGAAGAGAACTCTGCCTTAATTTTAGTTCATCCGAACCTGGAGGACTCGAAACCGGACAGGAAATTGATGCAGCGCGGGGAACATACGTCAAAAGTCGCCAGTGTGATAGCAAGTGTTGGTATGTTAACGTATTGATGTCTATAAAAAAATAGAAATTAATATTGATATACTACATTATATATAACATACATATGGGGCATTACATGAGTGGTCATTTATATCTAAAAGTTACTCATGTAATCATGCTACGTAAGAGACAGTTGTAAATATAATCAACTGGGGCAATCTTGAGGGTCTTCCTCTACAGAAAATTATCAAGGCTGCAATTTTAACGTGAACAATCTGTAAATCTGCTTCCTTTTACTAAACAATTTTTATCTCATATATATACGGCTTTAGCCACTGTGAAAATGGTATTGTAAGGTCATGTATATATTTTGATTTGACATCATAGCGTAAACATAGTGTAAAGACTCGCTTAATTTTAGCGCCACATTATAATCATGTCAATGAAAGAGTTATCCTTTTGACTGCAAACAGTTATTATTTTGAATATGTGTTAAAGAGAATATAATATTCCTGTAGTTTCATTACTACAAAAATTATTGAACTCCCCACAAGCTTGCATACTATAGATTTATTCAACTTATTCAATAAATTAAGGATTAAACCTAATAGACACTGTTTCAATATCCTCTATACATTTCAGTTTTCTGAGAACTGTGTGTATCTAAATATTTTTTTGCACCTCAACATTTCATTCTGCCACTTACAAAATGGCTGAATTGTTTCCCTTTATGAAATATCTGAATTGTTTCCCTTGATGAATTATCTGAATTGTCTCCCTTTATTGATTGTCTGAATAGTACTATTCCTTTAAGTTTATATAATACCTGAAATTTCTCTTATTATTTTATATCTGAATTGTCTCCCTTTATTCAATAACTGAATTGTTTCCGTTAATTTAATGTCTGAATTTATCTCTCTTTTTCCCATAATTAAAAATCTGAAATGACTCTGTTTACCTAATAACTTATTGTTCCCTTTAATTATTCCCAGCAAATGAGAATATATTGGAAATGTGAGTCCCTAAACCTGAGTGTGAACCTAAACTTGATTCAAAAAAATGTTTTTTACTGTGTTTAGATGATGTCCTTAATTTTCACCGAATCACCAGAAAAATACACTCCTTTCACCATCTTATGACTTTTCTGTGGCCCATAATTTGTTTAGAACCGTAACTTAATGTTTCACCTGGTTATTTTTTTATTAAATTTGTATTGTCTGTACTTTTGAATTTTGAGTTTGTAGATGGAAAAATAAAATTGGAGAATGTACACAGCACAATTTTCACTTTTAGCTCACTGTTGTTGTTCCGTAATTGAAGAATATTTCCGCCAGGAAAGCATTAGATTAGTAGTTCTAGGGTCATCCGTTTGATCCCTGCACAAGGGGAAATTTCCTTGTGACAACTGATTCAGGATATTGAGTTCAATAATAAGTAGTCACTATGTGGTGAAAGAAGTCAGTATGTGGTGAAAATATTCAGTATGTGGTATTAGTAGTCTGTATGTGGGATAAGTAGTGTTAGTCAGTATGTGGTAGTAGTAGTGGTAGTCAGTATGTGGTATTTGTAGTCAGTATGTGGTATTTGCAATCAGTATGTGGGATTAGTAGTCTGTATGTGAAATTAGTAGTGGTAGTCGGTATGTGGGATTTGTAGTGGTAGTCGGTATGTGGGATTAGTAGTGGTAGTCAGTATGTGGGATTTGTAGTGGTAGTCGGTATGTGGGATTTGTAGTGGTAGTCGGTATGTGGGATTTGTAGTGGTAGTCGATATGTGGGATTTGTAGTGGTAGTCGGTATGTGGGATTTGTAGTGATAGTCGGTATGTGGGATTAGTAGTGGTAGTCAGTATTTGGGATTTGTAGTGGTAGTCGGTATGTGGGATTTGTAGTGATACTCGGTATGTGGGATTAGTAGTGGTAGTCAGTATTTGGGATTAGTAGTGGTAGTCAGTATGTGGGATTTGTAGTGGTAGTCGGTATGTGGGATTAGCAATTGATATGTGGAAAATAATAATGTAAAGAGTATCAGTTCATGTAGATATCAACATCAAATTGAATGTGGTATATCTTTGAAGATGTCAACATGATAGTTATTTTTTAATTGGTTTATTAAATAAAAGAATGTTTATTTAAAGGGACGATGGCTTTAGAGTTACAACACACTCGTCTTATCAACGCTCCTCCAGAGATTAAAAGATCCGGTAGTCGGCGGACAAAGTTACAGATTCCTTCAGGGCTTACAGCTGCGAACCTACAGAAAAGGCCTAGTATTGCACCTGTACCTGCCTTCCTTGAGGCTTCGGATATAACAATACAAGTTGAGGAGGAGACCATGTCAGAGGACAGGTTTCCTTACGCTGATGAGGAGGATAATCCTGAGTAAGTGTCAAACAGTTTCTGATTGGCTAATACAGAGAACAGTATGTAAAACTGGTTGACAGGGACCACGGCAGATACGTAAATATAACCAACATATAGATATAAGCTTTACTATCAGTGAATGTTTATTCCATATCTCAATTTTTCAAAGCATGGTGAAGTTTGTTATAAGGTTAATTTTTATATTGTTTGTTTACAGGTCTGTGATCACTGCAGTTATAAAAATGCTAAGGAGTACCAATGGCCGAATCCTGCTATCATCGTGGCGGCCGACTATGCCAGTAACGGTCTCTACAACTTCATTGTTCCATTACGGTCACATGCAAGACCTAGCAATACATTAAATCTCATTGTCTTACTACTAGAAAAAAGGTATGCTTTTCATTATTTTAGGGAATTTTAAGACTTTAAAACACCAAATTCGATAGAAATTGTATTAAAGCAGCATGCCTCCAGATTTATGTTAATTTTCATGAAAATTTTGGAAATGTATTTAAAAGTAAAATATTGTGTGGTGGACCAATAAAAATATTTACATATTGCGCTTACAATCCAAGAAAATTACCAAAAAGTGGTCAAAATATGCAAAAACAGCCCTTACTGTGTTAGTAACGCAGTAGAAATATGGTGATAAGATACTGCAAAATCAGTCTTAAACCACCCATAACATGTAAAATATAACTAGGATCTTGAATATTTATACCTTTCATAAAAATTTAGTACATTTTTCTCAATATTGATTTTCTTGAAATATTTTGGTTCTTCTTGAGGCATGCAGCTTTAAGCACAAAATAGGATAAAAAATATGTTAGGCACAAACTTTGTATAAAATAATAATGTTGAACATACAATTAGGATAAATCATGAAAGAATAATGTTTAATAAAAATTGGGATAAAATAATGTTTCAAGTACATAATAAGAAGTAAGGATTGTTATTTAACCCTTTCCCCCATGAGCATATTGTGAAAAATGGCCGTTTTCACTGAAAAGCCTCCCGTTACAAGTTCAAACTGCTATGAAACTATGAAAAATGCTTCAATACTTATCAAACTTGGCACAAATGTTGACTGGACCATTGCCTTTGTAACGACATGCTGATTTGTAGTGGTAGTCGGTATGTGGGATTAGCAATTGATATGTGGAAAATAATAATGTTAGTTGTTCAGGAAAGTTAGAAAGGTGAATCAGCTATATGAATATGTCCAAATATTTTGCTTAATAGACGTTAAAAATCAATCTGTAATTTAAGATTGAAGACAAGTACTTGACAGTTTAAAATAATAGAAGATAATTTACATAGGAAAGTCGATCTGAATGTTTAAAACCAATCAGATTTTTTTAGATCTTGAGTCTATTAATAGTTCTATTTTACCACATTATTTATCTCCCCTGGAATAATTGGAATCCCTCTTTGTAGGCTTAGTACTTTGTATATGTCATTAGAGACGATAACTATTAAATTCAACAAAAGACGATTTATTGACAGTTGTTGGTTGTAAGATTATGAAATAAAACAACAATGAATTTTAGAAAATATTGTTTTAAAATCCCTTACAGTGCATTTATTTTTCTATACAAGAATTGATTAATTAATTTCATTTGAATTATATTCTAAAGAATCTTACATATCATTGTACAGTGAAAATTCTAAAAACCAGAACCTGCTCAGACTTTTTTTTCAAAAGATTCCAGTTTTCAGAAGTTTAAGAATTATTGATTGATCATTCTACATGGACCTTGTTTAAATCCTTTTATAGTTATAGTTCAGACCTCCTAACTTAGTCATTCTTTCATTTCTTTTTGGAATAAAGGTTAAACAAATTTTGTTTTGCCAAAAGAATGCTGAATTGAAGTGTAAGATTCTAATACTCTAAGAGTATCAGTTCATGTAGATATCAGCATCAAATTGAATGTGGTATATCTTTGAAGATGTCAACATGATAGTTATTTTTTAATTGGTTTATTAAATAAAATAATGTTTATTTAAAGGGACGATGGCTTTAGAGTTACAACACACCCGTCTAATCAACGCTCCTCCAGAGATTAAAAGATCCGGTAGTCGGCGGACAAAGTTAGAGATTCCTTCAGGGCTTACAGCCGCAAACTTGCAGAAGAGGCCAAGTATTGCTCCTGTACCTGCCTTTCTTGAGGCTTCAGATATAACAATACAAGTTGAGGAGGAGACCATGTCAGAGGACAGTTTTCCTTATGCTGATGAGGAGGATAATCCTGAGTAAGTGTTAAACAGTTTCTGATTGGCTAATATAGAGCACAGAATGTAAAACTGTTTCTGATCGGCAATAGTTCAAGATTGGCTAATACAGAGCACATAGTGTGAAACTGTTTCTGATCGACAATAGTTTAAGATTGGCTAATACAGTGCACATAGTGTGAAACTGTTTCTGATCGACAATAGTTTAAGATTGGCTAATATAGAGCACAGAATGTAAAACTGTTTCTGATCGGCAATAGTTTAAGATTGGCTAATACAGAGCACATAGTGTGAAACTGTTTCTGATCGACAATAGTTTAAGATTAGCCAATACAGAGCACATAGTGTGAAACTGTTTCTGATCGACAATAGTTTAAGATTGGCTAATACAGAGCACATAGTGTGAAACTGTTTCTGATCGACAATAGTTTAAGATTGGCTAATTATAGAGCACAGAATGTAAAACTGTTTCTGATCGACAATAGTTTAAGATTGGCTAATTCAGAGCACATAGTGTGAAACTGTTTCTGATCGACAATAGTTTAAGATTGGCTAATATAGAGCACAGAATGTAAAACTGTTTCTGATCGACAATAGTTTAAGATTGGCTAATACAGAGCACATAGTGTGAAACTGTTTCTGATCCGGCAACAGTTTATGATTAGCCAATACAGAGCACAGAATGTAAAACTATTTCTGATTGGCAACAGTTTATGATTGGCTAATACAGAGCACAGAATGTAAAACTCTTTCTGATTGGCAACATTTTATGATTGGCTAATACAGAGCACAGTATGTAAAACTCTTTTGATAGGCAGCAGTTTATGATTATGACTGATTAATGCAGAGCACAAATTGTAAAACAGTTTCTGATTTGCTAATATCCTTATTGTAAAACAGTTTTTGATTGATAGATTCATGGCAAATAATTGATACTCTGAGCTTAAAGTGTAAAGCTGTTTCTGATTGACAGATACAAACCAACACAGTAAAAGAGTTGTTGATTTGTAATCAGTATATGAAAGTTAGGATTAATTTGTGTTTTAAACTTTACCACACTGAATATCTTAATGTGCAGCGTTATGACAAAACCAACATGCTGTTCGCTTACAAACCCTATAACAAGTAGAGAAACTGATAGCGAACAACATGGATCCTGATCAGACTGCGCGGATGCGCAGGCTGGTCTGGATCCATGCTGGTCGCAAACCCATTATGTTTGTTTTGTCGTGACGCAGCTCAAATGTATATAAAGTGTTATTGTCTGATTCTATGATATAGACTGATTCTCTGATTTTGTTGCAGATTTGTGCGAGGATTTCCACCTGTAACACCTTACATTGGAACCAGTCCAACATTATGTCACCTAATGAGAGAAAAACGCCCACTTTGTTGTCTTCAACTTGTTCAGGTACGAAACTTAACCATTTCTTAACCCCAACCCCACCCCACCCCTTTTATCATTATATACAAAACGTGTGCTAATATTTATCATGTATCATATTTAAATGTTTTTGCTGATCCAGTCAACTTGATTTGGTATGATCAAGATAAACAAATACAAAAAAAATCTTGATTAGAGTACAGGCAAAAAACAATGTCAGGAATGTTTGTAAGTAACAAATGCTTGTATCCGAAATATCAATACATGTCATATTGATATATCCAGAGCAGTTTACATAAGATTTTAATGGAAGTTGGCAGTGACCAAGACAGATACCTAAATATAATCAACATATAAATACATGCAGTACTGTCTCAAGTGATGTTTATTCCATGTCTCAATTTTTCACAGCTTGTTGAAGTTTATTATGAGGTCAATTTGCATATCGTTTGTTTATAGGTCTGTGATCACTGCAGTTATAAAAATGCTAAGGAGTATCAATGGCCGAATCCGGCAATCATCGTAGCAGCTGACTATGCCAGTAACGGTCTCTACAACTTCATCGTTCCATTACGGTCACATGCAAGACCTAGCAATACATTAAATCCCATCGTCTTACTACTAGAAAAAAGGTATGCTTTTCATTATTTTAGGGAATTTTAACAGTTTAAAACACCAAATTCAATAGAAATTGTATTAAAGCAGCACGCCTCCAGATTTATGTTGATTTTCATGAAAATTTTGGAAATGTATTTACAAGTAAAATATAGTGTGGTGGACCAAAAAAATATTTACATATTGCAATTGGTACTTACAATCCAAGAAAATTACCAAAAAGTGGTCAAAATATGCAAGAACAGCCCTTATTGTGTTGGTAATGCAGTAGAAATATGGTGATAAGATACTGCAAAATCTGTCTTAAACCATCCATAACATGTAAAATATAACTAGGATCATGAATATTTATACCTTTCTTTAAAATTTAGTACATTGATTTTCTGGAAATATTTTGGTTCTTCTTGAGGCATGCAGCTTTAAGCACAAAATAGGATAAAAATATGTTAGGCACAAACTTTGTATAAAAGAATAATGTTGAACATACAATTAGGATAAAACATGAAAGAATAATGTTTAATGAAAATTGGGATAAAATAATGTTTCAAGTACATAATAAGAAGTAAGGATTGTTATTTAATAGCACAAATTGGGATAATGTAATTTTGTAAAGCACAATATTGGTTTAAAAAAATAATGTTAACACATATAATTATATTGGTTATGCGAACAAATATGTGTGAGTGATAACATTTATAATGTGAATCTCTTATTATTGAATTATCTCTAAAAAAAGATGAGATATAACTCATCAATCACAGATAATTTCTCAACATGGGCATAACAATGAATAACCTAAAATTGATACACTAGTAATTTTTGTCTTTAACCATGTCAAGAAAATATAAGGCTGTAAGAGATTTGAGACCTTATTTTGTGTGTATATGAAATAAAACATAACTTTACTACAACATTTATGTATTTCCAGACCAGACACTACATTCCTGGAAACAATATGTCATTTTCCTATGGTATATTGGATGCTTGGCTCAATTGATGTGTAAGTGTTACCTCATATTGAAATTTACCCAATTTCCATTTCTAACATGGACATTTTACCAATTTCAATTTCCAATATGGAAATTTACCCAATTTCAATTTCAAACATGGCAATTTACCCAATTTCAGTTTCCCACATAGAAATTTACCCAATTTCAATTTCCCACATTAAAATTTACCCAATTTACCCAATTTTAGTTTTCCTTATGGTAATTTACCCAATTTTACTGTCTCCATTTGGTAATTCATTCAAAATTGTTTATCATGAAGGGTAGATAATTCTACCATGCAATTTGGCAATTAATTAATTAATTTATGATTACAGAATAGATGATTTACTTCGGGCAGGTGTAAACCTGGCGGACAATGTAGTGATAGTAAACAAGGAGAGTTCTAATTCCCAGGAGGAGGAGACCTTAGCTGATTGTAACACCATCGTAGCTGTACAAAGTATATTTAGGTATGTACCGTATTTGTCCTTCAATTGTAACACCATCGTAGCTGTACAAAGTATATTTAGGTATGTACTGTATTTGTCCTTCAATTGTAACAGCATTGTAGCTGTTCAAAGTATATATAGGTTTGTACCGTATTTGTCCTTCAATTGTAACACCATCGTAGCTGTACAAAGTATATTTAGGTTTGTAACGTATTGTCCTTTAATTGTAACGCCATCGTAGCTGTACAAAGTATATTTAGGTTTGTAAAGTATTGTCCTTCGATTGTAACACCATTGTAACTGTGCAAAGTATATTTAGGTTTGTACAGTATTTGTCCTTCAATTGTAACACTTTCGTAGCTGTACAAAGAATATTTATGTTTGTACAGTATTGTCCTTTGATTTTAACACCATTGTAACTGTGCAAAGTATATTTAGGTTTGTACAGTATTGTCCTTTGATTGTAACACCATCATAGCTGTGCAAAGTATATTAGGGTATGTACCGTATTTGTCCTTCAATTGTAACACCATCGTAGCTGTTCAAAGTATATTTAGATTTTTTGTACTGTACTGTCTGTCTGACTGTCTCAGAACAGTAAAAAAAAAAAGAAAAACACACTGAGTTTGATTTCTGACTGTGTATTTCACATTTTGATATTGTTTCAATGTTCTTTTTCTAGATTATTTCCAAGTGCCAATATTATAACAGAGTTAACCCAGTCATCTAACATGAGGTTTATGCAGTTTCAAGCCAATGATTCCTACTCATATGAGTTGTCAAAACAAGAGAAGGTAACTCTTTTTACTTAGTTATCTTCCCCTACTCTTAACCCTTTCCCCCATGAGCATATTGTGAAAAATGGCCGTTTTCACTGAAAAGCCTCCTGTTACAAGTTCAAACTGCTATGAAACTATGAAAAATGCTTCAATACTAATCAAACTTGGCACAAATGTTGACTGGACCATTGCCTTTGTAACGACATGCTCAGTCCTAAATTTCCTGTTACCTTGGCAACATCTCAAAATTGCCAAAATTCACTATTTTGCCTCGATTTCTTCCATCAAAATTTATTTCAAAGTGCTGCAACTTCTCAAGGGATTGAGATAGAGTCAAAGGCTTTTCAGCGTTGGTTACACGTTACATTATGATCGACCTGGGGTCATTTTTAGCCTCTCACAAGTCCAAAATTTTCTTGGCGATGAGGGGGACTCTGCCCCCTTCAAATCCCCCTAACAGAAGGGGGCACATCCCCCTTCTGGCAACCCCCTGATGTATCTTTTGGATGGGGGGCGACCCAAAAAAGTGCTCATCTTTTTTAGCAACATTTCTCAAACGAAAAATGTGTTTGGGGGCCCAAATAGGACATTTTTTCACTCTTTGGGGCCTAAAAAAAGTGGGGGTGAGCGATAGTTGTTTCGCGTATATATATGAGGTAAAGGGTTAATGAAGAACAAGAGAAGGTAACTGTTTTTCTTAGCTATCTTCCCTTACTATTAATACATAACATAACAAAAAGGGTTACTCTCCTTTTATTGAAAGTAATCTTTTTTTGTTCTTAATTCAAAAGAAGGGAAGGTAACTCTTCCTTTTTAAAAGTTATCTTTTCTTGACCTTAGTACATGTACAGAACAAGATAAGGTACTAACTTGTCCTTTATATTAAGTTATCATGCTTAGTTCTTGTTACAGAAAGAAAGAATGTAACTTTTCTTTTATTTATAGTTATTTTGCCTAGTTCTTAGTACTGAACAAGAGAAGGTAACTTCTATAATTCAAAGTTGTCTTTCCTTGCTCAAAGTACAGAACAAGAGAGGGTAACTCATTGCTGATTTTATGTTCTCTTGCTGTAAGTAATGTGGTAACTCTTCTGTGACATAAGGTTATCTTTACATGATAACTTGCAGGATAAGACCCCTTTAACATTGCTTTGTTTGTACAGTAAATGACTGAAATTATCTTACTAAGTTAGAAGAGAGAGGAGAGAGAGATATGCTATACTGATGGATTGTATCTTAAGTTGTATATACCCTTCTTAAAAACGTGTAAAGACAAACTGAACCAAAGCAAAGGATAAGTTTTTCATTAGGATAAAGGTGATGAATTTAACGTCAGTGCACATTCATGAAGTTATAACTGCATCAAAATGAAGTGTGCAATACAGAAAAATGATGTGATTGTATTTCTTTAGTTGAAGATGAAGTTACTTTAATCAGAGAATTTATGCCTTTTCTTCTTTACAGAAAGAGAAAGAGCGAGGGTCACATATTTCATATATGTTCCGTCTGCCGTTTGCTGCGGGTAATGTATTCAGTGCCAGCATGTTGGATACTTTGTTATACCAGGCATTTGTGAAGGACTATCTCATTACCTTTGTACGTCTGTTACTCGGTATCGACCAAGCTGTCGGATCTGGACATTTATCATGTGTAAGTCTGTCTTTTTATGAATATAATGAATACTTAAGGCCATTATATTGATTTTATTGTTCCTCCAAATGTTTCAATGAAGCATAACATTGTTGATCATTCTTCCTTTTGTCGCACTTGTCTTACTTATTGTTCAGCAAAGCACATTCACTGATTGATATTTTAGATATTTGTTGTGTTGATACATTAAATAAATCTTTATCTATGGCTGATGTCTCAGGTAATAGGGTCAAGGTCACTGATGCTTAAATACATTTTTGTATATTTTGCCTTTGTAAGCTTTTACAAAAGTCATTTGCCCCTTACATTTGTGGGTTCAAATCCCTAAGCTATCAAGTTTAAGCTTACAGAACATCAGTGGTTCTACTCAGATGCCCTTTTGTGCCTGAAATAATACACCAAGGGGCAACAGAGGTCTTCCTTCACCAGTAAAGCAACATATGACCTGCTTTGTGTTGGTGTAAACCAAAACAACCAAAGAGACATTGGGGAGTAACAATGTTGTTTTTTTTTACCTACTTGTATATTGTATTTTGTTTTCCTAGTTAGACTTATTATCAAGGCCTTTGTAATTAATTTGTTTGGATATTTCATTGTTAAAAGTTACATGAATAAGGATTTATTACAAAGTAAGGGATCTGAAGGGGATTTTTACTTATTTCAGATGAAAATAACCAAGGATGATCTCTGGATTAGAACATATGGTAGACTCTACCAAAAATTGTGCTCCACAACATGTGAAATTCCCATCGGAATTTTCCGAACTCAAATCAAATCATGCCGTTCCCCACCTGCCAATACCTCTGTAAGTTTTTCCTTTATAAACTTGTTGTTAATCAGCTCGTTAGTAGACATAGGCTGGCATATGTATGTAAATTGTAAACATATTTAATGTCATATGGTACTGTTTACCGTTGAATAAATGCCTTGAGAATTCTCATTTCTATTGCTTAAATTGTAAATTGCAAACTATGCTATAATATTAAAGTGTCCTTGAATATGTTAAACATAGAAATTTTATTCTATTAAGTAAGTAAATAAGCCTGTTTAGTAAATAAGCCTATTAAGTAGTCTTCAAACACTGATTGTAAGGCAAAACTTATTTAGTCGACAAAAATATTTTATATAAATATGGACAAAAAAATGGGATTGAAAGAGGAAATATTTAGCCAAGATGTACAAAAATTATTTTTAACTAGTAATTATATCTTTAGAAAAAAACAAAGTCCGAAGTGGCTGTTATACAAAGGTAAACAGTAGATATGTCGATGTCATGATATCTGTGTAAAATATGCATACAAAATGTTAGAAGCTTTTTGATTGGCTGATGTTATGATATCTGTGTAAAATATGCAAACAGAAATGTTAGAAGCTTTTTGATTGGCTGTTGACATGATATAAATTTAAAATGGGCATACAAAAATGTTAGAAGCTTTTTGATTGGCTAGTGCTTGATTATGACATAAACTATGTAATGACTGTATTGGTTTATAATTTCAGTATATGTGTATATATTGTGTATTGCATTGAATAATGAAAAGTAGAATTGTTGACATAGAAATTTATTAAATCAAATGTAGTCCAAAATTAAGTCAATGATAAATAAAATATTATTGGCCTGTACAACATACTCATTATGTATTACATGTACACTAGTTACAATAATTCCTGGTACTTTTGAAGTTATCATATTTAGTCTTAAAGATCAAAGAATTAAGTCATTTGTCTTTATGAATGAAGTTGTGAATTCATAAGCAAAAAGTGGTAAATGAACATATAAGTTTTCGCAATTTCGTTTTGAAATATCCATAATTTGTAATATACAAGAAAAAGGATCAAACACTGGCTGTTGTCACAGACAGGAATATCTTTCTCTCGGGCAGAGCCTCGTTACCCCTTAAACCCTGGAGCTAGGTATTAGGGTCTGTACCTGTAGCCAGTGTAAGATTCTTATAATATCAAAATTCTGAAATTGAGAAGATATGTGAACTTATGTGTACATTGTCATCATGGGAGTGTAATAAATGCCATAATGGTGGGAGTATTCTATCATCATGGGAGTGTAATAAATGCCATAATGGTGGGAGTATTCTATCATCATGGGAGTGTAATAAATGCCATAATGGTGGGACTATACTATCATCATGGGAGTGTAATAAATGCCATCATCATGGTACTATACTGTCATCATGGGAGTGTAATAAATTCCATCATGGTCAGGGACTACACTGTCATCATGGGAGTGTAATAAATTCCATCATCATGGTCAGGGACTACACTGTCATCATGGGAGTGTAATAATTGCCACCATAGTGGGACTACACTGTCATCATGGGAGTGTAATAAATGCCATCATCATGGTACTATACTGTCATCATGGGAGTGTAATAATTCCATCATGGTCAGGGACTACACTGTCATCATGGGAGTGTAATAATTGCCACCATAGTGGGACTACACTGTCATCATGGGAGTGTAATAATTGCCACCATAGTGGGACTACACTGTCATCATAGGAGTGTAATAAATTCCATCATGGTCAGGGACTACACTGTCATCATGGGAGTGTAATAAATGCCATCATCATGGTACTATACTGTCATCATGGGAGTGTAATAAATTCCATCATGGTCAGGGACTACACTGTCATCATGGGAGTGTAATAAATGCCATCATAGTGGGACTATACTGTCATCATGGGAGTGTAATAAATGCCATAATTGTGGGACAATACAGTCACCATGGGAGTGTAGTAAATGCCACGATGGTATTCAACTATTCAAATATGCAATAGACAAGATAACAATTTATAGAGAATATATTTTTGATGAGTTGTATAATAGAATTGTCTATTTCATTCAGGCACTGGAGTATTTTATATCAAAAAATGGAAATAGAGTAATTTTTTTCTCGAACTTTCACTTGAAGATTATTTTACTTGTCACATGCATTAAATGTAAGGAGTTTTCCATTTTGCAGCACAATTTGAAGACTAATGATTTAAACTTTTATCAAATCTATTATGGTTTTTGAGGGGAAAAACATGATCTTTTTATTGTATCATATCTTATGCTATTGTTATCAAATAGTACCATCAAGAATGAAAAAGCACAAAAACAAACAAAAAACATACAAAAAAGATCAAATTTGTCAAAATCTTGATAAAAAAATTTTTTTTGTTAGGCACAATCTAAAAAAATTGTGTTAATGGCATTCATACAAACTAAGATTTTTTATTGCCTGATATTGATTAAAGATAATTATTCATGCCAAAAGCTGCAGAATGGAAAATGATATATGTTTGCTTGACATCACATGATCCTTATATCTATTTCAATACTTCAACATGTCATACTCACAAATAAAAGTAATTCTTACTCTAATCTTGTCAATAAAAACATCAGCATTATTAATTTTTTATTATAATTCTGCACAGTGAGCACCTTGCTTCTATGTAACTATCTTAATTAAATTTTTTTAGTCCCCTACCGGTTTACCGGAGGGGACTTTAGGTTTACCCTCCGTCCGTCTGTCCGTCTGTCCGTCCGTCCGTCTGTCTGTCAGTCCGTCAGTCCGTCCGTCCACAAAACTGGATCCCGCGATAACTTGAAAAGTACTGAAAATATTTTTATGAAACTTGATATATGGATAGATGGCAGTATGGAGATTATGCACGTCTTTTTCTTTTCTTCCTATGTTGAAAATTCTGGTTGCTATGGCAACAAATAGGCTGAAAATATGGCAAATTTTACACATAAACTGGATCCAGTGATAACGCAAAAAGTACTGGAAATATTTTTATGAAACTTGATATATGGATAGATGGCAGTATGGAGATTATGCACGTCTTTTTCTTTTCTTCCTATGTTGAAATTCTGGTTGCTATGGCAACAAATAGACTGAAAATATGGCAATTTTTATACATAAACTGGATCCAGTGTTAATCTAAAAGTAATAGAAATATTTTTATGAAACTTGTAATATGTGTAGATGGCAGTCTGGAGATTATACACGTCTTTTTCTTTTCTTCCTATGTTGAAAATTCTGGTTGCTATGGCAACACATAGACTGAAAATATGGCAAATTTTACACATAAACTGAATCAAGTGATAACTCAAAAAGTACTGGAAATATTTTTATGAAACTTGACATATGGGTAGATGGCAGTCTTGAGATTATGCATGTCTTATCTGTTCTTCCTATTTTGAAAAAATATTGGTTGCCTTGGCAACAAATATGCTTAAAACATGGCAAATATTACAATATTTGTGATTAGTCAAAAAGAGCTGAAACTTTTTATGAAATTGCATCTTTAATTCCAGAGTTATCTCCTCTTTAAGAATTTTGCTATTTAAAATGTTATATTTTGGTAACAGGGATGTTTCAAATATTAACTTTAGAGTGTCCTTCAGTTCATCTGTCTGTCTGTTTAAAAAAACTTTTTCCTGTGATCACTTTTAAAGAACATTTCCCACAAATTTACTTAAAATAGAGAAAAATTTACACATTAGTGAATGGCCAATGGCCCTTCAGAATGCTGATGGGGTTCTATCCGGTAGGGGACTTATGGATTGCTTGCAATACTATGATAATTGCTTGTTCACTATTCAAATAATGTTTGGTGCTCTAGACCTACTTTCCTGTGTGTCAAAATAATTATAAGTTATAACTAGTTTGACACCATGGCCAGTAGGTCTACAGCATATTTATTTTTACCGGGACATAAATCAAGTCTGGGACGCCTCCGGGACAGATACCTTATTTCCGGGACAATCCCGGATGTCCGGGACATTATGGCATGTATTTGATAACATTTGGGGATCAAGGTGTTGCACTGAACATCATCTCTAATAAACCTCTAAATATGTTCACTTGATACTTCACTTGTAACTTCAGGAATTAAAACATCAGGCACTGTCCAGGAACTTGAACTCTTGCATTTTTGATGACTGAATTATTCCCCTTTATAAATGTAAAAAGAAAATTACGCATTACCTAGGCTCATATTTAATTGTCATTTACTTAAGAATAATCAAGTATTCTGGTTGTCATGGTTGCTATCATCTAATCCATAATATGCTAGATTTCTTAAATGATTTTGCCCTGTTTAAATTTGGAATAGTCCATACAAATTATAAGGGATTTCAAGTATTGATGTACACAAATTTGAGCTACCACCAGTATTAAATTAAGCATGGTAGTACTGTAAAGAAGTGCAGGCTTTGGCCAGGCTTTATGCTTGTGGCAATGGTTTATCAATTTAGGTACCAGCTTGTTAAGGGTAAAAAAACACATCAAATTTCAATCATATTCATGTTAGAAATATCATCTGTTTTTTCATAAACAAACTAAACAGACTTTTGAATGCATTCTTATTTTATAACTTAAATTTTTATGATTATCTTAAATATTTTACATCGTTATCTATGTTTGATTCAGCTACATTTTTGTTTGCATTTTATTTTTGAGATTTGTTTTGTTATGTATTTTTTATTTGCCTTGTCATATTATTATCTCAAAATGACCAGTTAACCAGTAAAATCATGAATGATAAGGTAACCCCCAACAAAATCAAATATATGAAAAAGTAGAGATTTGCATTTAGCTAAATGCTTGCCACTTAAGTGCTGAATATTTAAGCCTTAAGTGCTGAATGCTTGTCATTTAGGTATTGAACATTCTAGACTTAAGGGGGCTGAATATTGGAGAATTAGAGTTTTTGCTTTGAGTATAATTATAAGTAGGGTGTTCTGTATATTCAAGACTTATATGCTGAATATTTGTGACTTATTCTAGAGTTAAATG